TTTTAACTTATTAAATATATTTTATTTTTTCTTAACTTATTAAATATATTTATTTTTATTTTAATGTAAAAATATATTTTATCTTTCTCATCACTTAAAAATATATTTTTTTTAAATATTTTAACTTAATATACATTTAAATATTTTATTCATATCTTCACTTAAAAATATATTTTATTTTTATTTTAAATTAAAATATATTTTATCATTATCTAAAATTTTAAAAATATATTAAAATGTCTTAACTTCAAAATGTATTTTAATTTAAAAATAAAATATAATTTAAGTTAATATATTTTAAAAAATAAATTTTAAAAGTTAAGATAATAATAAAATATTTATTTTTATATTAAATTAATAATAAAATATTTAAATATATTTTAAGTTAAGGTATTTTAATATTAAATTAATAATAAAATATCTTAACTTCAAAATTTATTTTAATTTAAAAATAAAATATAATTTAAGTTAATATATTAAAAAAATTTAAAAGTTAAGATAATAATAAAATATTTATTTTTATATTAAATTAATAATAAAATATTAAATATATTTAAGTTAAGGTATTTTAATATTAAATTAATAATAAAATATCTTAACTTCAAAATTTATTTTAATTTAAAATAAAATATAATTTAAGTTAATATTTAAAAAAAAGAAATTTTAAAAGTTAAGATAATAATAAAATATTTATTTTATATTAAATTAATAATAAAATATTTAAATTATTTTAAGTTAAGGTATTTTTTCAAATAAATTTTAACTGATAATAAAGATAAAATATATATTTAAGTTAAAATATTGAAATATATATTTTTAAGTGATGAGAAAGATAAAATATATATTTTTACATTAAAAAAAATAAATATATTTAATAAGTTAAGAAAAAAATAAAATGTATTTAATAAGTTAAAACAAAAATAAAATATAATTTTAAAATTTAAGATATATAAAATATTCTTTGATTTTGAGTAAAGCATTTATATATTAAATTACAATATATATATATATATATTATTTGTTGTCCAAAATATATCAAATGTTTGCCTTAGCTCAATGGTTTGATTTATAATAATCTAACCAAATAACATGAGTTCAATTCTCTCACCCACCATTTGTGTGGATTTATTTTCTTTCAACTAGATGATGACACGTGTCACCCTTTGATCGGTGAAAAATAAATCTATTAAATTAAAAATAAATTTTGTCATCCAATCGAATAAAGACAGGTGTCACCAATGAGCGACACTTCCTCCGTTAAAAAGTAACGGTTGGTGACTTTATTGAAACATTTAAATAGTTGGGTGGTCTGATTGATTTAATTGAAACTTTGGTGGTCAAATTGATTTTTGACCATAGTTTAGTGGTCTCCCGTGTAGTTTACCCTAAAATAAATATAACTTTTAACATATAGACCACGTGATATCATATAAAATAAGATTATTAAAATTAAACATGTATAAATTCAATTGCGATCAATAAAATTATTTGCGTATACTGAGAGTTAAATTAAATTGTCAGTTCAAACCATAATAAAAACTTTACTTAAACAGTCTGACAGTCAACAGTATTGTGTAAAATCAATTTTGTAATGCTCTATTTCAATTCCTATTATTGCCCATTGTATCATCATGAGAATATAAGCTATGTGAGTCAGTAAACGAGTGAGTGCGCTATTTGCAGTTTTATTATCAATAACAGTTTGCACTCTCAGTGCCAGTAACAGTAATGTACAAGTACTATAAAATACAACATCACTGTATTAGTAATTCGATATGAATTTCACACTGTCACAACATTGTGAGCCCACAATGCACATATAGTCTCAGTATCAATAATCAGTGAAAATTAATCAATAATCACTCCACCTCATGACATGTCATTTGTACAACTAATTCTCAATCTCATACAATGGGTGTAATTCAAAATCATATATGGTTCTCCATATAAAACATCCATATAATCGAATATAAATAAATATCTCATAAAAACCATAATTGAGCAGTTCATACCCAAAATATTTATATGCTATAAAATAAACAATAATAAATATTGTGTTTTTAAAAATTTGATTTAAAAAAACATTTTTCTTTTCAGATCGATTGAGGTTGACTCATCGCAAGTCGTTCTCATATCATTTTATATAAAAAGTTAGTTGCACTCACATGTTGTATTACTAGCTTTAATACTACAATCATTTCACTATCGGGTTTTATTTTTTTCTTTTAATTCACTTTAAGCTTGCTTTCGGTTGCGATCTATACATCAATCGATTTTTCGACATTTATAATTTCAAACATATATTAGTACGTACTAATATAATAAATTCTAATTCTAATCAAAATTCTAAACAATACTATTCATGTAGGTTAGATACTAATTGCTTACTATACCAAAATCAGCTTTAACTCTATTAAATTATCTTTCCAAATCCTTTAATAATTCACTTTAATCCATATCATTCATCATTTTCCTATTATATCCAACAATTTTTAATTAATACATTAGTATCGTAATTTTGCAATTTTCACCACTAACTTTTTGAAACTCCCGAATAGATCCCCTAAAATACACAACTTTTAATTTCAATCCAAAATCCACATTCAATCACTAATTTCCAACATAGTGTTTTTGGATTTTCAAATGCTTACAATTTGATCCTTCCATTATTTCAAACTTGTGAAAATGGTCTCCTAACTTATCATGGTTCCATAATGATCCAAAACTCAACTCCAAGGCATGAAAATCATCCTTAAATCCAATCTAATCCCTATGACATTTTTATTAAAATTTTCCAATTATTTTTCCTTATGGCCGGAAATTACAAAGTAGTCCCTTAATGGTCTCCAATTTGTTTTCAAACTTGAATTATCATCCAACATTCATTTCTAATCAAGTCCAACCATTCTAAATCAATCCTAAATTCAATGTCTCATCACACTAATAATAAATCTCAGTATGGGATCATAACTTTCTCATTTTTGCTCATGGATTCTTCTAATTTCTATAATTTACAAAATGGTCCTCTAATTTATTCAAGCTTCAATTTAATCCAAGACATGATTTCAAGCACACAAGATCACTTCCATGATTATTATAAGCCCTTAATAAATTTTTGAAAATTTTCCAACAATTTTCCGTATAGGCTGAATTCTTTGAATCTTTACTAAATAGTCACTAAATTTGTTTCAAGCTCAATTTCAACACGTACACATCAATTTCAACCATTCCAATTTATTTTCATATCAAATACACTTCAAACTCAACATTTACTCATGAAAAAACTTAGTGGTCAAACCTTATTCATGAACTTCTACTTGATTCCAATCAATTTTCATGCTTGATTGTACTTCCATAACAATCCTAAAATCATAATTTAATCTTATTTCAACCATATATAACTTTCTCTTCAACCACCATAAATACCCACTTCATCATTTAAGCATGAAACAATGAAATACCTATACCCAATTTATAGAGAATTAAGTGTAGAACATTTTCTTATTTCATACTTTAGTCCAAATTCTCACTAAAATGGACCAAAAAAATAAAAAAGAAAACCTTGCTAACCTTTTATATGGAGTCACGGCAGGTTGCTGGAGAAGAGAAGAGTCTCTTGAAATTTCTTACAAAAAACCCCCTTAAAAGTCCAATTTAAAATGAATTAAAATTCATTTTAGCCCAAAAGTCAAAATTACCCTTAATGAATCCTAATTTTTACCAACATGCCATCCTTTTATCTCCATTTTAATATCCTTAAATAAATATAAAAAACACATTTAACAATTTCCACATTTGCCCTTCCAATTTCCCAAAAATTCAATTTAGTCACTAAATTTCACTATTCCACTTTAACATGAAAATTCCTCCTAATTCCACTAATTCACGTCAAATTCTACTAACTAAAACTATCAATATAATATTTCTAGCGCCAAACTATTTTCCTTCGAATTTTTGTAAACTTCCTATTCAAACCGATTATCTAAATATTTTACCAGACTTTATCGCTTAATAAACTTTTATAACAACTTCAAATCAAAATTTTGAAACTCATTATAATTCCATTCTTGGGTTGAACTACTCATTTACAGACCCAAAATATAACTTTTAAAAATTTACATTCTTAGTCTTTAATCATTTACAAATTTACACTTTGGTCCCCAAACTTTTGAAATGTACTTTTCAGTCACCGATCCAAAATTTGGGATATTACACTAAACTAGTGCAGAAGGATGACTTCACTGGAAGGGAGTTTAGAACAGCCCCAGAATTATTTCAAGCAATCCTACTAGAGGATGTAGTAGATTTAGCAAGTATAACATAATAGTTGATTAGTTTGCTTTACTTATAAAAAGAACAAAAAAATAGTCATCAGTCACGCCATGTTTTTTAAGTACAAATATTAGTTTACACATCAATGTAATTTTTCTAACTTAAATTTAATTTTTAATTAAACTATTTAAAAATAATTAATTAAAAGTTGGACAATAACACACTGAGATTATGGGGGAAATTGAAGAAGTGAAAAATTTTCAACGAAAATTAAACACGAAACAATAAATTGATATGCAAACAAATAATTTGATTAAAGCTAAATTAAGTTAGAGAGGATTAGATAAGGAAGAGTGTAATATATATTTTTATAAAAAAAATAAATGATGTGACATAATTTTGTTGATATAAATATTATAATTTTTAAAATGATTTCAAATGGAATCATTCTCTAATATTTATTATATTTATAATAATATTTTTAATTAAATTATGATCGAAATAATTTGTCACATTATCTTCCCCGTAAGTTTATATACACGGTAAGTGTAAGTACTCTATTAAAAAGGTTAGCCACTTTCTCAGTTGACTATTCAATTATTCAAAGCGTGGGCAGTGACCATAGTTGCGAGATTAGTGAATATCCGAGGAAGGTCTTAAGTGGGGATGAGCATAAAGAAGCCTAAGTTGACTTACAAGCTCTCTTTATCTCTCTGTCCCCCCTTGATTTCCTTGAACAAAGTTTCTTTCCTAAAAATTGCTTTTTAGATTCAAATTCCAACCAAAAAGGATAAAATTACCAACAATCTCTCGAAAATGATTTCAGGGTCTGCTCCATTTTTTCCCAGTGCATCATCCCAAGGTTTGCCAACGTATCCAGTGGCAGAAGAAAACATTGTTTCATCCACCTATGAATCTGGTTCTGGATCTGGTTCAGGACTAGAGCAGTCCCATGCAAGCACTCTCCTCTATAAGCTCTCCATCCTGAAAGACAGAGTCCACGACGTTCAATCACTTGTTAGCCTCCTAATCTCCCCTGATCAAGCCCTTACCGAGTCAACTTCGCTTGCCATATCAAGCATGGGTTCTTTGGTTCAGGAAATCGTCGTAACAGCATCATCCATGATTTTCGTTTGCCAACAGATGTCTCTTGGAACCACCTCAGGTGACACTGTAATTCCTGGTAATCGGATATGTCAACCGCCAAGCTTCAGTGATAATTGTGTTGGAAACATAGTTCAAGAAAACGGGCAAAGCTTTTATTCCAATATTGAAACTATTAGCTGCTATGGCAACAACAATAATACTAGCCATGATGATCGGTTGGAAAAGAAAGAATCGGTTGCATTGCATCGAAGAAGCAAAATTAGTGAAGGGTCTCAAGCGATTTCAGCTAAGAATTATGATATAATCCAATTAGATGTTGCGGACTTGTTAGCAAAGTACACGCATTACTGCCATGTTTGCGGTAAAGGGTTTAAACGGGACGCCAATTTGAGGATGCACATGAGAGCTCATGGCGATGAATACAAGAGCAGTGCTGCATTGATTAACCCCATGAAGAAGCATTACGATGAAAACAGTAGTGCCGTGGGGAACCGTTGGACGAAATTGGATAATATGATAAAGTATTCATGTCCACAGGAGGGTTGTAGGTGGAACCAAAAACACGCCAAGTTCCAACCCTTGAAGTCCATGATCTGTGTGAAGAATCATTACAAGAGGAGCCATTGTCCCAAGATGTTTGTTTGCAAAAGATGTAACAGGAAGCAATTCTCGGTGCTGTCTGATCTCAGGACTCATGAAAAGCACTGCGGTCATCTCAAGTGGCAATGTTCTTGCGGTACCACTTTTTCCAGAAAAGATAAGCTTATGCGTCACGTTGCTTTGTTCGTTGGGCACGGTCAAGAACATGTTGCAAATTCTTAGGCAAAACCAGGGTCGCTCCAACACCAAAGCCATTGTTGGTGAGATGAAAGATGTGCATATATATAATAGTGATCGTGTATATATAATATATGACATTTTATTTAACTTTCTTAATGTTATCAGTTTCTAAGTTTTAACTCGAAGTTACTTGTAGACTGTCATGCATCGTTTTGTATATATCATGAGTGTACATTATATTACTAGTATTTCTTTTTATACTTCTAATATAAAATAATTAACTTTTATTGAACATATAGATAAGGGTGTTAAAAAATACACTACTCTAGAACTATCCAACTCGTCGATCCGTCGATCTGATTAAAAAATACTGAGTATTTAAAATGAAAATATCCGATTTTGCGGGTTGGATACTTGACCCGCTTTTTTTCTCAGGTTTCTAGGTCGAGCCCGGTTCACAAGATATCCTTTAATCGGGTACCAGTCGACTCGATGATCAATTTCTTATATATTTTTTTAATTTTATATTAGATTTTTTATTCCTAATTGTCAAATTATTTCACCATAACATTCTTAATTCTTATTTTCTTAAATTATTTCACCATAACATTCTAAATTATTAATTTCTTAAATTATTTCACCATAACATTCTTAATTCTTATTTTCTTAAATTATTTCACCATAACATTCTAAATTATTAATTTCTTAAATTATTTCACCCTAACAATCTAAATTATTTCTATTAACTTCAAAATATTTTAAATTAAATTATATTTATATATATATATATTAAAACTAATATAATTTAAAGAAAAAAATTTAAAAAATATGAACATGGTATTTGTAACCTAAAAATATGGATATACGAAATTTACGGGTATCCAATTTATAGGTACCCAGACTTTGTTAAACCGGGACACGGGTAAATATTTTGATTGTAGAAAACTAGAAATCTCGGGTATCCTATTTTGAAAACCCCTATATATAGGCTATGGATTTTAGTACATATTTGTTTTTACATGTTAATTTGAAGGATTATATTTGTAGTGACATATTCAAAAATATTTTTGAGAATTGATATACATATATTAATAATATATTTTTTTACGGGTACCTTATTTTGAAAACCCTATATATAGGCTATGGATTTTAGTACATATTTGTTTTTACATGTTAATTTGAAGGATTATATTTGTAGTGACAAATTCAAAAATATTTTTGAGAATTGATATGCATATATTAATAATATAATTTTTTATATATGAGTGTATAAATAAAATTTTAGAGTAAGTATAATTAATAAAATAAGTAATTAATAATAAAAAATTGAATTCCAAATAATCAAATGTCCCCTCTAAATTAAACATGGATTCGCGACTGCCTATAACGTATGCAATAGTGTTTGATGTTATATTTCATGTATTCATGGTATTTTTAAGATATATTTGTGTTTTCTTTATAAAATTATAATGTATAATAGACTAGGATAAAATATATAAATAATTCCTTGAATCTAATGTATTACTTTATTGAGTCTCATGACTATTAAAAGTTATAAAATGATCAATCAATCATATGTGTTACTTTATTGAGCTCTTAAACTATTAAAAGTTACAAAATAGTTATCAGACTATTCATATGTTCATTCGTCATTTTCTTTTAAAAATTAACGACCGTTTGAGTTAAACATTAATCTGCTGACTTATATGATAAAACCATAATTTTATGATGTATATTGACACCGTCGTTGCTTTCAAGCACTAACTCGACGAAATAATCTAAGCGGATATTTGATCCACAAAATACATCTCAAACAGTTATGAGACCAAATTTTATCATATCACAGTTAGCAAGTTAACGTCCAACTAGGGGTGAGAGTTCGAAAATCAAATTGAGTTATTCAAGTTGATGAGTTATATTTTATAACTCGAACTGGACATAAAATTTATTTGAATTGAGTTGAGTCGAGTTTTTGAGTTTATGTTTAAATTTAACTGTAAATATTTGTAATATTATGATATTATTTGATTTCAATCTAAATGATTTTCTATAACCATATATAATACATATATATTTCTTTATTTTTTCCCCAGATGTGATATATATATCATACAGAGTCGAGGGCTTCGACTCAAATTTGAAAAATCAATCTATTAATTACTAAAAATTTTGGGTTATTCGAGTTGTATTTTATAACACAATTTAAACTTGAAAATTTTTCAAGTAAAGTCGAGTTTATGAAATTATAACTCGAGGTCAATTCGAATTGAGTTTATTCAATTCGAGTAAAAAAATGATTTTTTAGTCGAGTTGTTCAACCTTATGTCTAGCTCAGAAGGTTACAAATTTTTTAAAAGAAAATAACGACTTTGAAACATATGAATAATTGAGAAATCATTTTGTAACTTTTAATAACTAATAAACTTAATAAAATTGTGTTTGGAGATCATTTTATAACTTTTTTTGGTTGCCCTCTCGGACCAATCTACGTCGCATACCTAACTTTGGTGAATGAGTCTCCCAACAAGGATTTTTTGTATAAACAATGACTAAAACTTGAGACATTGCTTAAGCGATACTAAACTGCTTACCACTTGAACATTTTATAATTTTTTTGAATTAATCATTGATACTCGATCTATTGACCGACTAATCCAGATCAGGTACTGTAGAGGCGATGAATACCCTCCCAATCTAGTTTGCTCCATTCGCAAATATCAGGATTAAAACAATTGAATTTACTTAAAGAATCTAGTACATCATCCCATTAAATTAATTTATTATTATTAACATTTTATAATTTTTAACTGTGAATTAACTCAACAAAATACATCTTATAATAAAATAGAATCATTTATATACTTTACCCTAAAAGTAGGGCTATAAAATCAGGTAATCAAACAAGTTTTAGTAGGATTTTAGAAGGTCGGGTAAAATCGGGTACATGTAAACTCATGTTGATTTGACACCAAATCCAGATCGGGTTCAGGTCGGGTCATTTTCAGTTCGGATCGATGTCAGTTCAAATAAAAATAGTTCAGGTCCGAAGCAGATAAAGTCCAGGTTAATTCAGGTTCGGGTGGACTTCAGTCGGATCTCGTTCAGATCGGGTCACATCATTGACAAATAAAATTCAGGTCGGATGTTTATCGGATACGAATGAGTTCAGGTCGGGAAGTTTTTATTTTTTGGATTAATTATTTTGTCATCTTTCATTATTGTTCAATTGCAAGTTGTAATTGTATATGATTTTGAGCGAATTAAGAGAAAAATAAATATTCATGGATCAATTTTGTATAAAATATAAATTTAATGACAAAATTGAAGAAATGTAAAATTACAAATAAAATCTTAAAATATATAAATTAAACAACACACATAGGTAAGGGACTAAATCGAAATAAATTTAAAATGTGAGGTTTAAATTAATATAAAAAAGGACTAAATTAAACACATTTAAAAAATTATGGGCCAATTACAAAAATATAAATAAATAACAACTAACAATGGAATATGTAAATATAAATTTAAGGACTAAATTGAATACATATAAAAGTGAAAGACTTAAAATTGAAATAAATTAAAAAACACAAAAGGATTAAATCGAAATAAATGCAAAATGTAAAGAAACAATGAAAAATATACTAACTTGCATTCATTTAAAAAATTGAAAAAATATAATATAAAATTTGTTGAAAACATTTTGATGTTTCGATATAACAAATTAAGTTAAATGAATTTTAAGATTTTACAAAAGATTTTCTATATATATTCGATATAATTATTCGAATATCAAAATATTACTCCAAGTCTTTCAAAATTCAATTTCAATCCTTACTAAAAGTGTAAAGTTTGTGTTTCATACTTAAAATATTTTTGAAACAATTTTCAAAAAGTATTTCGAACAAAAAATGAGCCTAAAATCAATTTTTCAGGTAAGTGTACCGATGCATAAATTAATGCATCGATGCACCCTTGTTTTAATTGAACATCGAATAGCTTTTGTGTACCGATGCACATACCATGCATCGATGCACTCCATGTATGATTAAAACATCGAATCGATTTTATGCATCGATGTACAGACCATGCATCAATGCACTCAGGCTTGCTTGAAATACCAAATGTATTTTATGCATCGATGCACCCTCAATGTACTAATGCACTAAGTCTTCCAACGGTCAAAATATTTGAATTTTACGCATAGTGTACCGATGCACTAGCCCTATGCATCGATGCACCATACGCTCCCACCTGTTTTATTAATTGTTTTCACACTTAAGCGGCTCTATTGACTCCACTAATCATCCTCAAGTTTGAGCATTTTCAAGCCTATTTCATTCAATATTCATTTTTTCTTTCAAGAACACTGTTGAAAACATTTTGATGTTTCGATATAACAAATTATGTTTAAATGAATTTTAAGATTTTACAAATGATTTTCTAAGAATATTTGATTTAATTAATCGAATATCAAATTATTACTCCAAGTCTTTCAAGATCATTTTCAAACCTTACTAAAAGTGTAAAATTGTGTTTTATACTTAAACTATTTTTGAAACAATTTTCACAAAGTATTTTGAACCAAAATCAAGCCAAAAATCAAATTTTCAAAGTGATGCACCGATGCACCAATCCATGCATCGATGCACCATGAATTAAAATGAACATCGAATGCATTTTATGCTTCGATGCACATACTATTCATCGATGCACTCAGTGCATTTGATGCATCGATGCACTCTGGCTATTTTGAAACATCGAATGCATTTTATGCATCGATGCACTCTTAGTGTGCCGATGCACTAAGGGTCCAACGGTCAAAATATTTGAATTTTACACTGATGCACCGATGCACCATGGGTATGCATCGATGCACTAACTCTCCCAACTGCTTTAATTAATTGTTTTCACACTTAAACGACTCTATTGACTCCACTAAGCATCCCCAACGTTCAGAATCATTTGAAGGAGTATTTAAACAAGTCTAGAAGCCATTGATCAACAACAAGAAAGAAGAAATTATAGAAAAACAAGAGAGAAAGCATCAAACATCAAGTTTGTGCAATTCAAGCCAAATTTCCTTTCAATA